TAAATCTCTCGCTCGCGCTCTCTTTGTGAGGATGTGTCGGTAGTGGTGGAGATTGCCATTTCCGGAGAAAATATATCATAGATACGCTCGAGTAAGCAGTGCTCATTTACAGTGATAAACATTCGGACTGTAAAATTGCCCAGTTGAGCATTAAGCCTAACGTAAAGAGTGAGAGAGAGAGAGAGAGAGAGAGAGAGAGAGAGAGAGAGAGAGAGAGAGAGAAAGAAGAAAAATTTACACGTTAAAGCGTCTTATTTAAATTAGCGAGTAGATTTAATCGGCCCCTTTCGTGTACCGCTTACAATAATTACCTGTGAACAGCAGCCCGCATAAAATTTACATTAATGCATTTCCCGCGGTAGTATCGGGCACGTACTGACGCTTGGCAATAAGCATCGGGAACATAACCTTTCCTCGGCCGCGACAGAAAAATTTGGCGCGCTATCAGTTACGGAGAATGAAAATTATAACATAATCCACACGAATTTCCCCGCGTGCGTGTATGATTTTGCAAACATTAACGTGAATTCCCCTTGATCTCCATCGTCCGGATCCTAGCAATTTTTCCGTGTGATGTTATATTCCGACAATCACGGCAAAAGCATCGGCGCGCGGGATTCGCCGATCAGGTTGCCGTCATAAAGAGAAGTTCTGAATATAATGAACGTCCGATAGACGTGTCTGGTATGTCTAATGAAAGTAAATAATCGGCAGCCAACAACAGTCTTGAATTATTGTTCAACCGGATACCTAGCAACCAGCCAAGATGCGGGCAAGAAAAGTACAAGGATTAGCCGCATAAATCGTCTCCGGAACTGGAACCGCGACAGAGCGGACGACGGAGTTATCGTGGGCATTTTTCCTCCTCGGCACTGTCCATCCCTCTCGTTCATCTACATCTCCCTACCTCTTTTTCTTTCACTCTCTTCCTCCTCCTCTTGCTTTTACTTTCATTCTTTTGTTTTTTTCAGACTCGCATTCCACCTATATATTCCCTCCCGTTCCTTTAGCATACCTCCTACTCGGTCCTCCAACTCTGTCGTTCTGGCAGAAGCTGCAGTGACCCGAGACGGCGATCAAGCGAGTCGTGGGTCGTGGCTACGCCGTATCTCCTCTCACCCCACTTCTCCACTCTCTTCCATCTGGCGAACTGTCTACATTTTTCACCGACTCGAGATTTTATTCGCCCGCAGCGCCGCGAAATTAAGCCGTTTTGAGATATTTATGAATGGATTGGTGAGGGGCTCACGCGCGCGGTCCCTCCGGCAGTCGAACAAAGAGAGTTTAGGCCGTAAGGCAACATGCCTAAAACGCGAAAGCCCGCGATTCGCGGCTGCTGTTAAAGTTAGGTACCGTATTGACGATGTCGCGACGCTGTGGAACTTGTCCATCGACTACGTGTAGAGTATCTTTCAAGTGATGGACTTTCACTCTCTCTCTCTCTCTCTCTCTCTTCTCTCTCTCTCTCTCTCTCTCCCTCTCTCTCTCTCTATCTCTCTCTCTCTCTCGATGTCACCCTACTCTCGTTGAAATAGCATACCTACAATGAATATGAATCATGATTGTTGCAAGTAGCAGCAAGAGTAATTTGTTTGTATCGCAAATATACCACTGAATTTTTCAGTGGTATACTTAGCACTGACAATCAGTATATAATCGCTGATTGACAGTGAGTTTCACTAATTCACTTTGAGAGAGTAGTGCTAAAAGCGCAAGAAGATTACGGACACTGCCTAGTGAATGATCTTTCTCAGCACCACACTATTCTCTATATATGTTTACATAAAGTAAACGCTGTGTGAGGTAGTAGAGTTGAGGGAAAGGAGCTGGTGTGTACAGATGAATGTGTTCTTTAAAAAGAACACACCATATGTAGTATTTGGCTAAAATCTATTCACAAGATGTTTTAAAAATATCAGTATTATTGTTTAACGAACATATTGTATATAAATACCGTTCACTGTTTCTGAATTACACAAATCAAGCGACGTGACGGAGATGGTTTGATGAAATTCAGATAGTATGAAAATGAGTATTGTTTGATGTTCTATAATATTTGTAATTATACTCCCCCAAGCCTTGTGCTAAAACGGACTTAAAGCAAATACTAAACTTAGGATATATGGACGTAATTAGACGCAGGCCTGTGGCCATATTCACAATGGCGTATTTCTGTGTGCGCGTCACACCCGTATCGTTCTCCTGCGCAGTGGCAATGGGTCATCAACAGTTAACCGTAATTTATTTGTTTGGCATTTACACGAGACGCTAATTAACACTTCGTGCGGTTCTAGATAAACGATATCTACCTTTTATATCTGTGTATGAACCCGAGTTCCTTTTTGGTGAACTTAATACTTAAGACTTTGAAATTTTATATATTTTGGCACGTGAAAGACAAGTTGATCTCTCAACCACATATGTTGTTGTTTCTGTTGTTATTTATAATTTTCTGGTACATTTCTTCATTTGCTTTTGTAAAATTTAGGTTTCCGCTAGTTTCATACATATACCGAGTATCCTCGCTCGCGCATTATGGGTTGGACCAGAGCTTCTATCTCAGTCAGCAACTTTATTCTCGCCAAATAAATTCTGGCAACGGCATTAGTTTCTTCGAAATTATTGATAATGCTCGCGCCAGCACTTCGCCGATGGGCCATATTTATGGCGAATGGAGTGGGCGCAATCAAGTTCACCCGTCTTCCAAGACCCGGCGTGGTAGGCTCCTAGGGTCGGTAGGGAGGATGCAAGGAAGGGTTTTCTAGCTGCTGGGCTTGCTCTCGCGTGATATGCCGCCAGCAGGATGGAATGGTTTCCCCTCTGGTTGCCAAGGTAACCTATGTCCCACCCTTCGGGCTTCGGTAACCACCCCGTGGCTGCAGCAGACGTACGTGTGCCAAACTGACGCACACGAGTACTCTAAAAACCGCGTTGATTCCTCCAATACAGACACGACCGGCTTCTACACGCACGCAAATGGAAGTGGGACTCGTGAGTGTGGTCGCTGATTCAGGTACACGGGCACACTGACGCAAACCTGGACCGCACTGCCGAGAACGGCCATGCTGAATTCAATATCAGCATTCTCTGCATTCTCCAAGAGTTTTCTGCTCGGTCCGGAGCGATACGTACTTGATGGGTCATCCTGCATCGGAAATTGCGCACGTGCGTGTCATTTGAGTACCCGATCGCTATAGCGCAGGCTATCATTATGACAGAAGATAGAAAATATGGTGCTACTCACTTAAATCTGTCATAGGGTAATACCCTTGATATCTGTTAATCTCATTTCTCGATATACTATTCCACAAAACTATAAACAAATCGTACATAATAATAATGAAGAATGCGTGTTACTTGTAACTTAAATAGAAATTGCGAGCACTCGCTAATCATGCTGATTATTCTAGTGGATATAAGATAAATATTGCAGTTAGCAAATACTATATTGTAAATTTATTTATTAATGACGATGAAAGTTACGAAATATCATGGACATAGGATGTTTTTTGGTAGATCAATCTGAAGCTAGGTTTTAGAAACGACTTGGATAAACATTATTTTTCCGTAGCCATTTAATTGAACCGCGAATTAAGTTGTCATAAAGGAGGTCCTACTTTTTTCACTTTAAATGAGGAATAAAGTTCTATTGTATCCAGTATATACATATTATTTTCGATGTATTTGTATAGCTGGTTACGTGCTTATCTTTCCAAACTTTTTTTTTTACCAACATAACAATAATTAATTTTCACACTTTTCAACACGTTAACTCTTGTATTCTCATAAAACGATATGTAACAAAAATCTTGCTATCTTTTATTGGTCAGTAGCACGCATTTGCTACATCACGAGGTAATAATATGGCCACTCAGCGTCGTTCTGGAAATGATGGTATTATGACTGTCCACTCTTTGCACTAAGGAACCGGTTCCTTAGCGATCCTCAAAAGAGATGCTCCTTTCCCGTGGCGACAATCGAAAGTGAAGTTACTTTTAAATTGATTATGAAAATACATTGTTCAGCATTGAACGATATCATTATTATGTGAGGAAGTCATCCCAAATACAGTTGTCATACATTATTATATTCCGCCAACATTAATGAATTATTATTTTTTAAATCTCCGATATGTACAACATGTCACACGCCAACGCGTGAAGTTCGATGATGCTTGCGTAATATCATTACTTACGATTGGTTGTTACTATCGCAGGTATTCCGTTCAGAACAGTTCTTTACCTCACTGGCCTGTTTTTTGTCGGGTGAAATTTTTTACCTGCGCTTGTTTTTTACCTGTTTTTTATATTGCGCCGGTGTTTCGATTCTTACCTAAACACCGTAAAAAACTCAAAGTCCGGCCGTTTTTTATACCGTTGTCTCGCAGAGAGAAAGCCGAACGTACAAAGCGCCACTACAAAAAAGGGTTTGTTGTCGATAATTTACGTGAGAGTCTTCGGGAAACTTTCGTTTTTTCGCTCATCCTTTTTTTACCTTTTCTTTAACCCTCGCAACGGCTAGGAGTCGAAAACATGCAATTTTTTGCGAGAGAAAGCGTGGAGAGAGTCAAGATTTGTAATGAGATGTGGAGAGCATTCGAAATCGTTTCTCGAAGACAGAGAATACTTTTAGATATGGAAAAGTCGGATTTAGTGAAGTAGCTCTCTTTCGCTTTGTAATAAACGCATATGCGATGTAATTTACACGTTTATTTTTACAGAAATATAGAGTATATATACATATCATAAAATACACAAGTCATATTTCTTCTATCTTAAAAGTATCTAGCAATTCAAGGATTTCTTAATTTCACAAATTTGCTAGTTCATATCCTTTTCATTACATACATATTATGCATTTGTTCTCTCATTTGTACACTAGCATTTCAGTTCGCTATAGAAAAAGATATGCTTATTGACAAATTAAATGCGACAATAACTTTTCATGATTCTCAGAGACTATCGAAGGATTTCAAAAATCAGATTTCTTAACATTTTCAGGTCCGAATGGCTGCCCGAGGCGCAGAGGCCGGCAAACGTACACGCGGTTCCAAACATTGGAATTAGAAAAAGAATTTCACTTCAATCACTATCTGACGCGACGACGGCGAATAGAGATCGCGCATGCACTCTGCCTGACGGAACGACAGATCAAGATCTGGTTCCAGAATCGGCGAATGAAGTTGAAGAAGGAACTGAGGGCGGTGAAAGAGATCAACGAGCAGGCTAGACGCGAGCGCGAAGAGCAAGACATGATGAAAAAGCAGCAGGCAGAGAAACAAGCCAAGTTGCAGCAGGAGCAGCAAAGCGCCGCCCTCCAGCATCAGCAACAGCATCACGTAAGCGGCCTGGACAAAACGCAAAGCGATCTTCTCAAGGCAGTCAGTAAGGTACCCACATAGGATACCTTACTGAGCCGACTCTCTTTCTTTTAAAGGAAGACACAAGAGACTGGAGCGGCCTGGACGAAGACACCGATGCGAAGTAGTTGGTAAGATCGACATAGAAGACCCCGAGTTCTCCTCCTCTCATCTTCGCGCGCGAAAAAACAGGTACGAAACATCCGACGCGAAGGTTATTGCGATCCTCCTCGAGTCGGTGACACGGTGTACGCGTAGAGAACCTTGCGGATGCGGTCACCGTCAGTTTTGTATCAAGGGAGAAGATAGTGAGAATTTAAGAGGTCTGGAAGATTTAAGGAGCGGTCTTCTTCTGGGCAAAACAAGAAGGTACGACGAATGCCTTGCTGAGTCGATTCTCTTTTGTTTTTCTTTTTTTTCTCTCTCCTTTCCTTTAATGAAGAAAGAAAGAAAGGTAGATTACGGTAGTAAAACTCGAAGCATAAAGAACGAACGCACCCCGCCCGCCCTCCCCATATAACTACGTACTTACTTGGCTAGCCCCCGAAGAGCGACGTGGTGCCTGCGTTTCGTATAGGGGGTTCAGCCTGTGACTGATTCCTAGAACATATAATGTATATTGTTAATCGGGTGCTACACAACGAGCCATTGCGATTATAAAGTTATGAACGTACGACTGGCGCGATACTGCCACGGTGAGCCAGCAATTACGTCAAGCCGGTGAGTAGACTAGTTAAAATGGCCGCAATTGAAGGATTAATGGTCGAGCGGCCAACTGAATTATCAGCGACGACACTACGATTAATTGATTGAGCCCTCATGGAAAGGGGGAGTAATTAGACCGTGCTGTAAAAGCGAAACCGGTATACAGTTGCGAGACGACGAACGAAGTTGGGGATATAGCTAGTCTTTGATCTGTCGCTGAACCTATTTCGTACGTGCGAATTGGCGAATTGAAGGTTAGCTAGATCCGTGTTCGCGGTTATACGACGAATTGTCGTACCGGAGGAAAAAGAGAAACGCGGGGACGCCGGAAGACAGTCGTGTCACTATCGACACTAAAAGCGTTTAATCCTCAATATCACGTAGATTTTTCCGCTTCCTCCGTACGGCCGCTAAGGGGTATTAAAAGGGGTGTAAAATTCGTGACGCCTTCGTTGGAACAACGAACGTATCTCTCGCGCGGTTGCAGACTTCGGGTATTGATACTCGACACTCTCTTTGGATATTGTGTTACAATTATATAAATAACCGATGTACACGATCATTATCCCCTAAGTCGCTTTTTGTTAGTTGAAGGAATTCAGTATTCGTGGGTATTCACTTCTCTCGATCTAGTTAGATAAATGTTTGGTCTTATCACACAGAGTAACAGCTTTGTTGAAATTTTCCAAACCTTTTGGCAAACGCGTAAATTAGTCGTTAGTCATTCAATTTACTGCAAGTTTTATCTATGTGGGGTTTTTAATAAAATAAAAGAAAAATTGACGTGATTTTGTCTTACTTGGAGTATGATCTGGCTTTACAAATTACATGATAATGCATTCAATATGTTATCGGAAAAATCTGTTTTCTTCCAACAGCTCTATCAGTACGGTAGCTCGACTTCCTATCGAAAAGAAAGGAAAAATATAAGTTCATCAGAGAAAAAACGCGCGTACAGTTTGAGTTTTGGTCACTTTGACACGTCAATTCAGACAAATAACAGAAAATTTTTTATCAATGAAGTATAGTAAATTATTTTATATCCGATCCTGTAAAAATTTAGGGTATTTATTTTTTTACCAATGCGAGTAAAAGTACTATCCTATCATGAGCAATAAAATATCGTTGAATTCACGAACTTTACTGAACAATTAAAAATAAAAAAAAAATAAAAAGGAAATAATGAATATCGCCATCCAAAGGCAAAAGATGTTCACGTATTAAAAGACGAGATTACGGATCGTGAACATACAAATGTTAGATTTCAAGCATATAACTTTCTTAACATTGCTTCTATGCGTGAAACGGATGGTAATAACTGTACAATACAATGTTGGTGACTGAACTTGGCTAAGATCTTGACGAAGAGTAATTATTTCGATCATCTTGCCGTGTTAATAAGCAAAATTGCACACATACACAAGTATATAATCGTACATTTTAATTGATTCGTTATTACAACACGTTGCTTTAATCTACTATGACATAGAATTAATAAGAATTATTCAATTTGTTAAGAATTCCTTAATATATAATTTATACAATAAACATTTATAATGATACAAATTATTATTACACAATCTCAAATTATTCTTGTCGGTGTTTTATTGAAAATCACAAACGTATTCACAGACATTCTTGTGTAAACATTGGCTTTTATGAAGACGAGCATAGAAACGCGGCAAAAGTAAAATAGATGGAGACACAATCGTACACATACGTACGAGAAACACGAGACGCACCACCGGACGAGTATCTCACTCTTAGTACATTAAATACGTAATTTGGTGTCAGGGTAGACCTTTCCATAGATATAGAACCCGTTGTTGGTATTACTTACTTAGAGTTCGTAAAAAAAAAGAAGGTAAACATGAAAGAAATAACTTCGAGATATATAAATTATTACCTAATTATTTTTTTCTCCATGTTAGCGTGATCAATGCATAGATCTTGATCGCTTATCACAAAATTCTCGATCAAATTTTATGCTGAGCATAAACTTTCATTTTTAATTATATTTATAAAATTAGGATCTCCCTCACAACAATGAAGTGCAATGTGTTTATTTACTATTGATTTGCAACGCTTTGAAAACAGAATAAGCAGCGTTAAAGGCACAAAAATTATATATTTATATATACATATAAATGATTCTTCTTAAATTTGAGCAGGTATCAAGGAGATTCAGATATATATACGTAATATAAATGAAATTCATATACATTTTTTTTCTTTTTAATTAACGTCAGGATCTATTGCATAGATCGCTTAGTACGCCTATTATGACGTAAAAAATCATATTGTACACAATACCATATTATATATTATTAAAAGTAATAAGTATATATTATTATATAAATATATATGAACAAAAAGGAAAAGAAATCTGTTGTACCGTGCACCGAAGCAGAATTTGTGCTAGCGCGGTAAGGTTTTAGAATACGTATAAACAAGTACGTAAATCGAAAGGAAAAAGAAACTTTGTTAATTTAACTCAAGAGAGAAGCATGATAGTGACGATCAACTCCAAATAGACGTCCGTAATTAAAGCAAAAAAGAAAAAAACAAATCTAGATAAACGGAAGAAGGAACGTATTCATATTAGTACCTTACCGCTAATTACCTAAACTAAAAATATTACTATAAATAATATTCCCATACGTAACGTAATGATTAAGCTGCGCATGCGAATTCGTACACGATGTATTCACATAAATATCTCCCCACATAGCGAAGTACCTACCTACATACCGTAAACGTAATGATGTTTTAACGTGTAATATGCAAAACGAAAAAGAACGAAGTAGAACGTAATATATGCGTGCATACGGTAAACAGTCTTGCAGAAATTAGGTTCGAATAAAAGAATAAGAGTATTCGCGGAAATATGGTCGCATTTACGGAAGGTAAACGCTAAAGAGCACAGCCGGTTGAAATATTTGAAGGATATACTTTAAATTGTGTTATCTTCAAGTAGAAAATTGATATAGCCTCCTGGGGCGTTTATAGCGGCGTGTTTCGCGGTGATCATCATGTACGATCGTGTTAGTGGAGGAAAGCATCAATACCGACATGCCATTTTGTTTTTAAGTTCTTAAATTTATTCAAAATTAAATTTCTTAAATTTATTCAAAATTAAAATTAATAAGCACAAAAGTGTTCTAAAGACTTACTTTTTACATCAGGAAGATTATTATAGTTTTTATAATATTATTTCTAGTTTTCAAATTCCAAAACAGATGTCTCCCCCCTGATTATAAAGTGACCAAAATTTGAGACCTGAGAAATTTGACTTCAAAACCGACATACCTTTTAAGAAGTACGAATCAGTTGTTAAATTATGTAAAGCTATTAACGGAGCTTAGCAAAATATATACACAAAATAATTAAAAAATTTATTTTTTTTGTATTTTTGTTTTATTATTGAATCTGTTGTATTTTAATTTTATTAGTGAGTGTGGCAAAAAGTTTGACTTGATTTTATACTTTTTCAATGCTAAATTGGGCAACTGTAATGTATAAATGTTACTAAAACGTTTGCGAAGGATCAATAACGATGATTACTTAAATTTTGTAACATATGCAACAAAGTGAAATATTACTAAAAATCGAGCTGAATTTTTAGCTAACTTTATATTTATAAAAGGCTCAGAAATTAGGTTATAGATTAGGTTAGGTTGCATTGATTATATATCTCACGTATTATACTAAGATTATGTTGATCGTAGAACACAAGATGTGTCTGTTTAAAGTGTACCCTAATTAAAATTTTTAAACTATACAGTCGAAAAAACAATAAAGATAACGATGAAAATGAGATTGTTTTTGAAAATTATAAGCACATAAAATAATTTAATATTAACGACGAAAATGAGATAATGATGAAAATGAGGTTATTTTTGAAAATTACAAGCACATAAAATAATTTAATATTATCAAGATATATTCATTGCTGCTTAAAATGCGCAATTTGTTAAAGAAAATCAACTCTCAAACTCAATAAGAGCTGATTTAATAAACAAATGAGCAAATGACATATGTAGTTATTGGTTTTAAGTGAGTTTACTATATTAAATTACATAAAATAAACTACATTTATATCAATTTTGATAAAAAGTATTATTTAATCGTGGAAAAATTGGAGCATGTCATTTTTGAAGAAGTCAGTATCAGTACAGACGCTTTTTTATATTAAAAATTGAATGGCTAGAATTATAAATTGGAGTATTCACAGTGATATTTCAGAGATTAATGAAAATAAATACTTACATATATGTATGCCAACATTAATTACAAATTTGATAAATCAATGTCAATATAAAATTATATTAATTCAAAGACAAAACTTCTAATACTTTTATTTATATTGTTCTTTTAACTTTGTAATTACCACGAAAACTGTATGATTACTAAACTCGTTGGTTTCGACAAATTGTACAATAGATCGTTTCTTATACTTTATGTAGTCATGTATGCATGACTACACGTACAATATATATCGCTTATCAACATAACCTCCATGTGTCGGACCATATTTCACGCTTACGCTCAAAGTTTAAGTATAGATATTCAGAGAATATTGTTGGACAACAAAGTATAGTCGTATATCGGTTTTAATCCACGTAATCAGTTCTTACGAGAACAGTAGACGAATCATTATTATAAATTTTGTGACCGTAGCCCGAGGATCTTTCGGTTGTTCTGTCGGAAGTTGAAGCATGATCGCGCCCTAAACTTATTCCGGCTCATTGTATACGGAACAAAAATATCGTAGAATCGAAAAAAATGAGAGGGAACGCATATGACGCGGTTAGCCCCGAGAATCGGTATAGAAAATCTATTTGTAGAAAAGCTTTATACATGATTCTATTTACGAACTATTATTATTATTATTATTATTATTATTATTATTATTATTATTATTATTAATGAGTTATTATCATTATTGCTTAGTTATGTTTTGATGTTATTATTACGGACAACGTTAATTATTCATAACGCGGCTGCAGCAAGTACTGCGGCGATGACGGCGCCGATACGTCCGACAAATTAGAGATATACGTAATGCGCGTAATAATAATTAATTATTATTATACTTAGTCCCCCGAGGAGAGTTTGTATAATATGGGGTGGTGAGATTTCTGGCGGCCGTATTAGTTTCTACTTATGATACATTAAGTCTTAATTAGTAGCGAAGTGATGTGTGTGGCGAATAAAGCGGATGACATCGACATATAAAAGTCGCGCGCGAGACTTTTTGCGTGCATACGTCAGGCGTCGACCGCGGTGTTGGACGACTTGAGAAACGGATCGACGATAAGAATCGCTATCATTTTCATTTTTACGTACCATTTTTACGGTTTTCGTTATTAAAATTCCGAAACGAAATATCTTAATTGTTTAATAATTATTATTCGGTTCTCCCTTGTTTTTCTTTTCTTACTTTAGAAAATAACACAGGAAAATTGTTTGAGCTGTTCAACAATTATTATCTTGAGGTTGTTTTGTTAGTCGAGGAATTTTTAGGATCGTTAAAATGACTTGTTTCATATTTGTACAATGTGTATACGAGTAACTTTATAAAAACGATTAACTTGTTTTGAAATTCGAGTTGTCGGTGGAGAAAAACACGTTGAGAGTGTATTGTCATCAGTATAATTGGCGATATTTGATGCGAGTCACCCGAAATCGGTGTAATTGCATTCGGTGTGTTTCGATTGATGAAAACACGGTCCCTTCTCAAATCTTTCGCACGGGTCGGAAAAAAATATAGGGATATAAGGCGAAAACTTTAGACTAAAAATTGTGCGGGCGCCGTCCACATATGAAGCTTTCTCTCGGCTTATCTCTAAGCTAGCTACAGCAACTATATGGTTATAGAATATTATGCTATAAATAATTGACGCGTAATCATATCATATAACTTTCATAACGCTTCCTTCACCCCCTCCTTTCTTTCTCCTTCGATCTATCCCACTATCCTCCTCTTTTCCCTTCTTTTCCACCACGGTCGTTTACTCACTCTGATCTTATCATTATTGTAG